ATCTAAACAGGGTATATATATGATAAAGGGAGTGAAACCAGAATGGCAGTGTACTGAATGCAAAATAACATTCTTGCTTGTATAGGGTGGCATTCAGATTCTTCTTTCACTGTACCTTGTGTTTCCTGTGAATCTCAGATGAAGGCACCCCAAACTCTGCTGATACCATCAACACATTAGAGTGTGATAAGGGACCTTCAGGGCTGTATCTCGCCTATGTGTAACACACAACTTAAGTAAGAATGCAAATGGCTAGAACTTATAACTTGTTTTGACATCTTTGGGTAACAGCTTTTCCTTGTCCAGATGACTGTTGTAGAAGAATAAATTCTGGGTTCATGGGACACAATCACTTTTAAGAAACCCATAAAAAGCTCACGTGGACAGGGCAGTTATTTGAAGTATCCTGAGCATTCTTGGAGTCCTGTCTGATCTCTGGTATTTGAGAATTCAACTGTCAAAGTAGAAACGAAAATCTGCTGTATCCTCCCATAGTAATTAGACTGCTGTGAACTTGCTTATCACCTTGATCTGAATGGTTCTAAAACTGGTCTTGTGATCAGTCTTCCCTACCTTTTATATTTACAAACTCACAGCTGTGGCCAGGGGTCCACTTTCTGGGTGATGTCGAACCTGGTGTGCTGAAGCATCCCTGGCATGTTAGCAGGCAGGAGGTGTTTTCTTGTAGGTAGCCTACGGATGATTTACAGAGCACTTGCTTGGATTGGAGCACACTGGACATGTTAGAATCACATATCATGATTTTAATTGTTTCAGAACTTGCAATTTTAGCAAAGGTGTGGTCATATTATTCTCTGGGTTCCCTTATGTTCTCCTTGTTGGTCTATCTGAAGCTTTTCCCTTCTTTTGGCTTTTAACACAACTCTAAGTTTCTTGGGACAGGGCATTTATTTTTTGGGCTTGGATCCTACTTAGTGCTCTATTCACTTTTACACCAGTCTCAATTTTACAATGCAAGAAATTTCAGTGGATTGCAGGCAAAATTTAATCTTGCCTCACTCGGGAGAAATCTGATTACTTTTCTTAGGGGCCACTTTTCCGAAGAAAATTTTTTTTTTTTTTTTACAAGTAAACAGGTCTACTCAGGCATCATCTTAGCCGTTTAAAAGCTTTCCAACAGTATTAGAACAACATAAAAATAAACAAGCATTAAATACGTGCTTAAAGGTTTGTCTCATTTGACACAAACCTTGCAAGTATGTTTCTCAGCCTAAAAACCCCTGGAATGTATTTTCCTTCACGGCAAGGGAAGGAGAATGGAGATTTCTATTTTTTTTTTTTTTTTACCACTTAGGTGTATGAATTCTCCAGTGTCAGAAACTTGAGCAGAATGAGTTCCTGGCTATCTTCATGAGGTAGAGAGAAATCTAATGGGAAAACTGAGTCCATTAGAGCTGAATGGAAAAACTTCATTTCAAGTCATCATTTTCTTCAGTCACTAGAGAAAATAATACAGATGTTACTGCCTCTTATTCAGGTTCTGCATGGCAGTGTAAAGACTGAGGTTTTCTTAGCACATTGCTGGTGAAACTTGCTTATCAAAGCACTCTGATTGCAACATCTTTGATCAGCTGATATATTTTTGCAAGACTTGAGGACAAATAATGTCCTACCTTCAGTCATTTGAATGTCCTTGATTTTTTGAGAGCTACCTAGTTAACTCAAAGCTGGGGGAGGGGGCGGAAATTCCTCTGACTTATTTGCAAGTATTTGGGATTCAGTTTCTCTTTGTTTTGGGTTAAATACCTTATTGGGCATTCTAAGCTTGGAACAAATGCAGGCAACCTTATTCAAGAAGCTGGTTTTGCTATGCACCCTCAAACCAAGACTGACTGTCAAAACACCTTTCTTCTGAAGGATTTTGATGAAACAGATGACCGTAGCAAAAAATGCTCCAGAACTGAAGAAATGTAGTTCTTACTGAAGCCTCTTGGAAATTTAGACTTTTGTGATCCATTTCCAACTTCACTCCCATTCAGATTACAGGTAGTCCATGTAAGTGTTGATGAGCTGATCCTAGATGAAGGGACCACTTCCAGTTGCAGTAATGGCTGTATTAAGAGGATGCCTACACTCAGGAAAAAAAATGTACCAACCCTGTCTCAGAGCAATTGCTATGGCCTGTTCTTGTGTGCTCTGCCACCAAGGCAGAGAAGAACATCAAATCAACCTGACAGACTTGAGGTTTTCCAGTTAAACCAACAGCTAAGTCCTTTAAAGTTAGATCAGGGGGCTGTTGATGACAAGGAAGCTGTATGACAAGGGCAGTGGAAAAGTCATGACTGGACAGTCACCGGTCTCGTTTGTCAGCACTTGGTATGTAATGTGGAGTTTTACAAGATTGTAAGCTCATGCTATGTGTTTTTTCTCTAGTTTATTACAAAGACTAGGAGCTAGAGACACTGCTTGCTGGAGGAGGTTATTGCTCTGCAATTTGATGAACTAGACCTCTAGATGCATTTTTTTTTTTTTTCCAAGAGCTCTGCTGCTGCTAGATAATCCTCTCTTCAAGGCACCAAAGGAGACGAGACACGTTCTGTTAAAAGTTAATGGTCCAGCATGGGCTAAATTAGTGAAAAAACAGGCTTGAGTTTCCCTAAGGATAGTTGGAGTGGGTGTGTGAAGGTGTCTAAGCAAAATGTCAGATGGTGATCTGGATGTGCTCAAGAAAGGTCATGTGCATTGCCAACATCAGGTCTATTTCCTAAGCAAATACTTATGTGAGAGGGCCACAGAGGGGCTACATCTCTTCTTGTCATGAGTTCATTTCCTAAATGAAGGAAATCTTCTTTTATTATTAAGTCTGTCTTTATAAAAACTGTTAACCTTAGGGTAGAGTTGTCAACTCTCCTACACTGGTACTTTCTGATGTGCCATATATTGGCCAGTCCTGTATGTTTGGTTTTAGTTCATGACCTTTTCTTTTTTCCTTTGACAGAAGACTTCTGCAGGCCTCCCATTCTACTGTAAGGTATTTGTGAAGAGAGGCATGATGTAGGATAGGAAAATGTATCTGTGCATACCTGAAAATGTCCATTGTGAAATGGAAGTTTCAGACAATACTGATTAATTTTCCTATCCTTGAAACAGTAGCAAATATCAAGCTTCTAAGCCTTACTTATACTGTGTGCTACATTTTAGTGAAAGTCCTTACATATGATTTGCCTTCTGTCACAATGAACAAAATCTAAGCATTTTGGTTCTTGAAAATAAAGCATGTTGTTTTTAACTAATATTTTTCTCCCTGTGTGTTCTGCAGTACATGTCAGTGTTGCACGACATTGTAATTTCAGAGTAGTGGTACCTGGTGGGAAAAGCTGAGATGCTGAGGTACTAGGGAGCAGATACAGTGTTTCTGAGACCCGTGTGACAGAACAGTAGCCTGAGATAAATCCTTGAAGCTGGGACTAGAGTGATTGGAAAGACATGGGGTAGATGTGGAAGTGTCTGGGTTATGCATACGGGGTGTAGAGATTGCTGTAAGCCTGCTGTCAGAGGGAGTAGCAGCAGTGGCTGCTGGAGGCTTCCTTCTTCAGGAATCAACTAGAGTTGAGGGAGGAAAAGGTGGGCATCTGTGAATGAAGGGCCTCTAAAATACATGCACAGGATGAAGAGCCATGCAGATACAAAGAGCATGTTTCTGTTTTCAGGCCTGTTTTGGCAAGTTTGGGAGCGCTGAAAACCTAATGAATTTAAGACTTGATGCTCCAGATTACTCAGTTGGCAGCAAGTTTCACTGTCAATTACTGGAGGAAGGACAAGGAACTACTGGAGAGGACCCAGCACAGGGCCACTAAGATGACGAACAGCCTGGAGCACCTTCCGTATGAGGAAAGGCTGAGAGAGCTGGGTCTGTTTATCTTGGAGAAGAGGAGGCTGAGGGGGGATCTTGTCAATGCTTATCAATATCTAAAGGGTGGGTGTCAGGAGGATGGGGCCAGGCTCTTCCCAGTGGTGTCCAGTGACAGGACTAGGGGCAATGGCCATGAACTGGGAAAGAGAAGGTTCAACCTGAACATGAGGAAACACTTCTTCACTGTGAGGGTGACAGAGCCCTGGAACCGGCTGCCCAGAGAGGTGGTGGAGGATCCTTCCCTGGAGAGTTTTAGGACTTGTTCCTGTGTGACCTACTCTAGGTGATCCTGCTCTGGCAGGGGGTCAGACTAGACAATGTCTAGAGGTCCCTTCCAACCCCTGCCACTCTGTGAATTTGAGGTCTGTGTGTGAAAGTAAGGATGCATGTATGGAAGCTCTGTGCATGCCTTGAACCACCTCCTGTCGCTGGGCCAAGGAGGAGAGAAACCTTTTGGTTTAGCAGTTTGGGAATTCTAATGAATTTTTGCAATGGACCTTTCAAAAACAACTTGAAGATTCTATTTTCTGTGCTAATTTGGTGGTGAATTACTTTTTAAAGGAATAGTTTGTTTGCTTAGATAAACAAAGTAAAGTTTAGATTATTTTTTCTAATAATTTGCAGTGCTTCAATTTGAACAGGTTTGGTGTTAAGGAGTCTGAGCTGTGGGTTTTTTTTTCTTTACTCTTTTGTGGAAAACCTTTTGTGGGAAGTAAGAGAGGTCAGCTGTGTGTTTGGGCTACATGCCAAGACTGTTGCCACATACTAACACACCGTCATTGTGAAGGTGTCTGTAATCCGTTTGTTACGACTGCCTTACCTGTGAGATGGAACAACCTGTGTGGGAGTAACTGCTCTAACTTGAGTGCATAACTACGAGTATACCACTCGTTTTGTTATTTAGCAATGCAGTGGAAATACGGTAAGGTCATGAATTAGTGTGCCCCGTTAAATTCATCCTCGGGATATTTACCAAATCCAGGGAAAACATCATTGTGTTTTTGGCCATGTTTCTCACCTGTTAAATACTTCTGGCAGAGAAGCACTCTTACTGTGTTCAGGAATTGCTTTAGTAACTTTGATTTTAATCCCTGTACTGTGTCCGTGTGCAATTTTTCTTTCACAGATGGGAAATCCTTTGGTCCGAGGCACCTACTAAGGTGAATAGTCCTCAGGCTCGGCAGTTCACACCTTTTATCAAGCAGATAAACTTTCCCACAAACTTAATCCGACTGGAAGTGAACAGCTCTCTTCTGGACTACTACACTGAACTGGATGCAGTAGTACTACACGGTGTGAAAGAGAGACCTGTGCTTTCACTTAAGACTGCAATGATTGATATGAATGACATTGATGAAGATGAGGATGACGAAAAGTATGGCTGTGGAATGGACACCCTTAATAAACAGTTCAGCATTGTTACCCTCAGGGAATGGCCGACTAACGGATATTTTGATAAACTGCCTTATGAGGTAAAAAAAGGATGTTTATATTTAATGTAGTTGTGTTGGTCATAAAGGGTGCAAAGGTGCTTTATAGGGCACTGGTTAAGTTTGTTGGTTTTTTTCCAGTTAGAGTTCCTTACATTCTTTTGTGAAACTCCTGCAGTTATTGTATAGCTGTGCCTAAATTATGTAAGCCTGCCTGCTTCCATGGATGGATATTATTAGCAAGCCATTTGCTGGTATTTGCATGGTTATTGCACTTTTATTTATCAGGAATCTGTCCATTTGCATGTAGTTTCTGCACTAGTTATTCTAGCCTTGAATTTCTATCCCTTGAACTTAGAAACTTACGGCAGTTTTCCAGTGGTTTTAGTCCTCGTGCTTGAAGATAAGAGATCTGAAAAGATTAAATCCGAGGTCTGGAAGTGGAAATAGTTTGTAATAGGATAACAGTTAATTTTCCTATTACCTCTTTTACAATACCCCAGAACTTTGTTCTTGAAACTGCCATAATATTTTCATATTAGTATGAAAAAAGCTTCTTCTAGCTAAATTTTGAATCATGATGTAGGCAGAAAGCGTTACAGCTGGACTTCTGTACACTATCTTGTTTTGATGTTTGCTACTTTTTATGGTATCACTGGCACAGAAGAGAGTTGTGAAGAAACTACTGCTTTCGGTTCCCCTGGCAGTGGCGTAGTGGAAAGTGTGCTCGGAGGCAGTGTAAATAAATATTTTCTTTCCTGTAATTTCCAGTATAACGAGATTGTGAAGTGTAATTGCTGAATATAGTGTGCAGGCCAGGAAATTCTCAGTGGGGATGTAGCCATTTGTGGAGGCTCATACCCTAGTCAGAGTAAGAATTAAGAGATTAAATAATTGTCTTCACCTCTCCTGAAATAAACTGATTTTGCATATAGTAGAGAGGAAACTTTACTTGCTGGTCAGACCTCTGGACTCGGGCAGAGATATGATTGTTCCTGCTCTTCAGTGTACTGCCATCTGGCAAAAGATGTGCTCAGTTCCTGCAGCGACTCATCGAATGAATGCTCAGGGTGCTTGTGGCTTGAGTCAGACCCGCTCTTGAAAGTAAAGGGAGAGGATGCTGAGAGATGCTGTCACCGATGCCGAGGCACTTTCAGAAATACGTGATCTCACAAACAGTATTTTGTTTTTTTCACACCTTTTGTCTCTTAGTACCCCAGTTTGGCACATGAAGGCTGTGGTTGTACCCCAGTAATGTGCAGAAGTTTGATGTGCTTGTAAAGAGGAGAGAGGCAGGAAGAGAATGTAACAACTCCCCATCCTTCTCCTGTGTTATTTGTTGTCTCTTTCAAGTTGTCTTCACTTCTTGAGTTTGTGAATTTTTGCTTGTTGCTGCCGTGGAATAATAAATGAGGATGCTAACTTCATTCTGAGTTAGCTCTAGTGGTGGTGTGTGTTTGTTTTTTCCCAGAGTCCTTACAGTGTTTAATATATTTTACTGTCAGTGCTTGTATGGCAGTACTGAAGTAAAGAAAGTACTTTGCATGTGCAAAGGTGCAGGTAATCCCAGAACACTTTAAAATGTGTAACTGTGTGAAAGTTTGAAAATGTGTTGGTTTTAGTCATTCAAAGAAATTAATTGTAGAGAAAATTGGGTTTAAATGTAGGAAGTCTTGTTTGAAAAGGCTGGATAAATAGATTGGTAGTATAGTAGAATGCCAGAGAGATTGATTAATCTCTTTTCTGTTCCACATGATTATACATATTAAGATTATAATTTAGGAAGTATTTGTGTAGTCCTGTTACTCCTGTGAGCTTCTGCCTCCGTGTACTTTATTGTGCTTTTCTGCTTTCCTGTTTGTGTACCAGCTTCCTTTTTTATCCATTTTTTAACATGTTTGGTTTCATGAATGCATTTATATGGTCTATCAATACCAAGCATGTTTTGTTTTGTTTTTTTTCTTCTGCTTTGATTTAAAGAAACTGAAAGTATGAGTGGAATATTTATCAGAAAACCTCAAAAGACTATTTCTGGACTGGTTTTGTGACAGAAAAATTCCGGTCTTCTACTTTCTTGGTCCAGTTGGAAGGCTTGGGTATCAGAACAACAAAAATGTTGTACTTTGTAGTATGTCAGTTTTTTATTTCTTCTGATATGGGAACAGTACTCTGTATGCTGTCGTGGAGACTGACAAGTGTCAGATTTTTCTGGGAAGTGTTTGAACCTTGTAATGATGAAGTAAGGCAACTGCTGACGCCTTCCAGTTTTGGTTGATACATTACATGACAAATTGTATCGTTTATACCTTCGTGTTGATTGTCGTAACTGTCATAAGTCTCCATACATAGGCCAATTCCTTATTTGAGCCATTTCAGGCTTTTTCATACCACCCCCTGTAATTCACAAAATACAATTGTTTGAATGGTCTTCTGGGCTAATCTTGAAGTAGACAGCGGTTCCTCCAGCCTTTGTTGTGCCTTTGTGGTCTTCCTGAAACTTCCATAGGTTATCCTTTCATAGACTGTTCCTCAAATGGAATGGCTTGCTGTGGTGTGAGCTCGAAAAACATTATAAGTCTAGATTGCTCCTGCCAACACAAGAGAAAAATGTTCGAGTCTCCAGGGGCACAGACTTCTTAGGGAAAAGTGTGAAGCCTTGGATGAACGAACCAGGTGAGAGGATTTTCTTCCCCTGCTCATGGATGGTGTTAATCAACCCTTAGTAGCTGTGAAATACTTGTACTATCATCTGTTCTCCAGAACTACATTAAAATTGAGGAAAGATTTTCTAGGAGATGCTTCATGTCCTTGTCTTTCTTCCCAGTTACCTTTGATTAACTTCTGCTGCTTGTAATGTGGAAGGAGTAAGGCCTGCCGTGGAGAAGGGTGAGGAATCCCTGCCACAGCATACCTGTAGTGCAGTTTCAGACTCACCAAGGTGTGCCAGGTACCAAGAAACTAAATTTTGTTCTCCAGAGAGGAAAGTCAGGAGAAATTCTACATCCTGCAGTCCCAAAAATGTTTTTTATATAAGTTTTGATATAAAAAGATATAAATTACATCTTTGTCATTCCTTGAAGCCAATTTTCCCTGAAGCTGCCTACAAGATTTATGAGCTGTTCATGTCTACTGGGGAAGTGAATTTCACCGCTAAATGTGGATTTGGCACCTATGTTCCAGGAAAACGGGTCTTGAATGTAGATCTGCATCCCTTAAATGATACTGAGATAGAAGAGTTGGAGTAATAAGCAGGAACATTTTTAAGTGTCGTACACTTTTTTTCTCTCAACAGTAAACTTCTTACATCTTTCCAGAACAAATATTGGTAGGCTTTCAGATAATCAGTAAGATTTTATGCCTGTCTTTGGAAAGAGAAACTCTTGAGGGTCTTAAAAGCTGTCTTAACAAACAATAACCATATGGCACAAGATTCGCTTTGGTTAATGGCCACTGTTAGTGCCAGTTACTATAACAGTCTGGGCTCTGAGCAGTGGCACGTGGAGATCTTTCCAGCTTTAGTCCTCCTGGAGTCTTGATTATTTGATTGTGCAGTCTGTCAGGAAGATCCTTTTCTGTTCTTTAGATCAAGAAGGGGCTTAAAACTCTCACAGAGGATCAGAGTCTGTAGCCTGGTGATATAAAGCCCACTCTGCCAAAGCGTGTTGTGTGAGTAGAATAAAGAAAAGAGACTTAAATGGTTGTGATTTGTGGGACAGTTGCAAGATCCACTTTTCACGTGTTCATGTGCACTATGCACATACATGCAAACATGTATGCATTTGCTGGTGCTAGCTATAGGATCGTGGAACTAGGGGCTGTGTTTTCTTAACTATGTTGAGGAATGTCAGAAGCCCTAGAACACCACCTTCTCCTTCCTGCCTTCCCTCTTCGCCTTTTTGTGCGCTTCTCCTTCGTCCTTTACCTGAGCATGTTGTAGTATCAATTCTAATTAATTAGTCTAAGCTGTGTCAGCTTTAGCTGCAGAATGAAGAAACTGTAAGTCATTCATTTGCGTGTTTCTGAATGAGTGGTTTGCATAGGCCAATGTATTTTCATATTGGAGGGACGCATGTTGATAGAAGAACTTCTATCTTCTTTCCTCTTCAAGAACTAGAAGAGGAAATTTGTAGGAAGTGCAGATATCCTAGGTTTGACCAGCACCTAAGCATTATTTTCTGACCAAATCCAGTTGTGCATTATTGTGCTCTAGCCCCAGAAGGTATTTAATTGGGTACAAATGGTTATTGCTTGCTATTACTCAGCAAGAGCTTTAAAAAGCTGGAGAAACTTTTGGGTAAGTATGTACCTACTAGGAGCTACGCCGTTGGTAAAGTTTTATCCCATGTACTGAAGAGTGTGGTGGAGATCCTGTTTGAGTTTATATAAGTGAATTTTGCAGTGGGTGGATGAATTTGTAGTTCAAAGCATGCAGATATGTGAGATGCTGCAGTTGGGGACCATGATGATAAAACACAAACGGATCAAGTATGAATCAGGATCTTTCTCGTGCTCAGACAGCACACAATGAATTTGTATACTGCTGTTTGTTGAATTGTTGTGGAGAATTATGTTTTGGAAACCTCTTGGTTTTGGGTGTTTTCACTGTAGTGGGTGTTGATCTCTTATCTCTAAAGCTGCCACATGCCATGTTTGCCCTGGAAGTGTGAGACAAAGTACTTTTTTACTTGTGGTCCATCATAACCTAAAACGGCTGTCAGTGTTGTATAAATTACATTTTGTTTTCCTGTTTATACTCCTTTGTATTGCTTTTCCAATAACTTTTGGTTTTTACTGATCAATTTAGACGGAAGCATAATGGTCACCATCATTTTTCATAAATGCAGAGCAAAAACAGTTTGTGAGAAACTGTGTTACAAAATTAATTTCCAAAGCAGATGCTCAATTCTGCAGCATTCTTGGAATCACCACGAACACAGTGTAGCTCAATACATCACATCACATACTCATGGTATCAAATTGTACTTTATGCCAGGACACACATACATAAAAAGCAAATTTCTGGCAGACACCAGACTAATGGTGATTAATGGTTATTAGCCTGTAGGTTTGGAACCTGTTATCTTTGTTTAACCAAAAGCTGGGAAAAAAGTATATCTTAATGTCATAGTAGTCACACTTCATTCTATTTTTTCAGTCTAGATACTATGAAGTAGCATAAATTCAGTAGCATTCATGTGGTAAGAGATTTCATCGCGGGTGTGGAAAGATTGCAACATCCTGTATGTTACGAAATACTTGCTGAAGTCATCACTTAGTGTAAAGGGACATTGGTGAGGTGTTTAGGGGTTTCGGGTTTAAATTGGAAGCGGAGAGATTTAGGTTGGATATCAGGAAGAAGTTCTTCCTGGAGAGGGTGGTAAAGCACTGGAACAGGTTGCCCAGAGAAGCTGTGGATGCCCCATCCCTGGAAGTGTTCAAGGCCAGGCTGGATGAGGCTTTGAGCAACCTGGTCTAGTGGAAGGTGTCCCTGCCCATAGCAGGGGGGTTGGAACTAGATGGTCTTTAAGGTCCCTTCCAACCCAAACCAGTCTGTGATTCCATGATTTATAGTTTCATTCACCGTTATCTTTACTACTCAGAAGTTCAATGGGAAAAAGGTATTTGTAACAAAATGTGTGTTATTTTTATTAGACATTATTAAGCCACATTAATTGTGGACATAAATTTAGCTAACTGTGCAGCCTTTGAGTTCTCTGCTCTAGAAAGCTTACAAAAAAAGCATGGGAAAAATCCAAGGGAGAAGACATTAGTGAAATAGATATTTAGGTGGCTTGCAGAGTATGGAATAGCTGAAGGATTGCAAAGTAGTTTGAAGCAGTCAGAATATTGAAAATTATTTAAAGTGAATTGATTGTATTACCTAAATATATATGTATTTATCTACTATTAGAATGACAAACAAAATTGTGTTAAGCAACCTTTAAGCTTAAGTATGGTTCTGAGCCAAGCAAAAATCAATGTATTAACTTGGGATTTATATCCGTTAGCTCCTAGTAATTTTGCTCTTTCTCAGATACCAAAATGCCAACAAGCTAAATGTCAGTTGGCAGCCAAGTTTGTTGATTATAATGTATTAACTGCGGCTCTTTTATGTGCATGTGCATTGCTGTCGCACTGCAACGTCTGGGCAGACAGTAAGCATCAAGCTGAGTTGAGAGTACCAGGCGCCTGCAGGGACAAAGTGCTTGGGCTGTTCTTAGAGGGAAGGAGAAGCGAGGAGAAGGGACGAGGGAAGGCTTGAAATGAAGCTCAAGAGGAAATAGTATATGCAAACACTGTATTTTGGCAGTATATTTGGAGTTAAATTTTTTTGAGAAGTTGTAGATCGAGTTTGAAATCCAAATACTAAATCTGGAGCTGAGTAGGAAGTAACATTTTTTCATTTTGCAGGAAGTTGGATTGTTTTCTTATTTCTTCTTTTCCAAAAACGAAGGGTGGAGGAGGGGAGGCGGAAGCTAGCTGCATAATAAACTGGTACATTGGAAGTACAATCTGTTTGGATCTCACAAAAAGATTGATTTTCATTTTACGTCAAGCATTTTATTCTAATTTTTGGCAGTTTTGTCTTAAAAAACATTAAAATGAAACATGATGGTGTTTTATAAGGGACATAGGACTCTCTTCAGTTTAAGCTGATTTGTGAGTTGTTTTTTAGTTTTTTTTTCTTAATTTACACTGGCTCATTTCAGTGAGTTACGGTTTCTCACTCTGCTTGAAAACACTTAGTCAGTTTTAGTTACATAACTTGAGTACAGGTGCTTATAGGTGTTAAAGACAGCCCTGGTAAAGTAAACATGAATTTTTAGATTTCATTTTTCAAGTGCATTTTCTCTTAGTTTCTAAGCTAAAGGAGGTTTTTGCTTGCTGAAGTGACTATTTGTGTCTGTGTGTATTGATCTTCCTTTAGAAAGGAAAACAGAGCATGGTAGGAGATAAGGTATTTCTTAATTTCTGGGTGTCAGATAAGTGACACCCAGAAATTTCTGGGTGTCAGAAAACGTGAAGTGGTGCTAGTCAGGAGAGCTGGTGATTATTCTGATGCTGAGATGATTCAATCTGATAACGGTAAAAAGGGGTTTTGCCTTTCAGATTTGACTTTGGCAAAGAACAAAAATACTCTCAAAAGTATTACAGCAAGGATAAGATTACTTTGTAAAAGAAGAATATGCTGAGTTTTTTACCTCGTTGCCTAGTCTGGCATAAATGGAAGAGAGTATAAGGTAGAAGACAAAACCCTGATTTTTAAAGCAGGAGAGGAAGAATAGATCTGAAATCAGTTCAAGGTGTGAGGAAGCTGGGACGTGGTATGGTTTTTCCATGTACTCTGCAAACATGCTACCATCTTAAAATCAGAGAAGAGGATGCCAATTCAGTGTTGTGATCGAGGACAGTGCAGACATTGTGAAGGGAAATATGTAAACATAGTGTTTACATATATATCACTGTTTAAATTAGCATGGGTAAAGAAACTTCTTATTTGAAAGCTTCCTGTCACTTTCGTATGCTGATCTGCTTTTTCCTTTCTTGTTTAATATCAAATATCTCGTTTAATTGTCAAATTGAGAAGGCAGTGCAGTCTTATTTAATAGTTAATCAATGATTATTTATTTGAGAACTTACTTTTAAGTAAAAGGATTTGCTTTTCTTTGAAGTTAGAACATCTTTTCTCACTCCTTTGCAGTTTTCCCTTGACATTTCAAGTGCTATGTGACCATCTGTGACTTTTTTTTTTTCTGTTTTTAATATAGCTCATCCAGTTGATTTTGAGTCACCTTACAGTACCAGACCTGTGTAGACTAGCGCAAACTTGTAAGCTACTATATCAACATTGCTGTGATCCTCTACAGTACATTCATCTAAGTTTACAACCTTACTGGGCAAGGATTAATGACACATCTCTGGAATACCTACAGTCTCGCTGCACTCTCATCCAGTGGCTGAATTTGTCTTGGACTGGAAACAGGGGAACCATCTCTGTTTCTGGATTTAGCAGGTCAGTCCTAAATGTTCAGAAGTATTTTGACAAGCTCTGTTCGCAGAGCTGCTGCGCAGTAGTTTCACTAAGTATTTTAAACCTTATTAAAAGACAAGAAATGCCTTTGATTTACTGTAAAGGGTGTGATTGTTATGCTGTATTAAAAAACAAGAGCTAAAACCAGTATGAGCTACAGGGTCAAGCAGTGGAAGTCAATATCTGCATGTGCCAAACTGCCTGTGACTGAAAGGTTTCTTCCAAGGGGAGCAGTATTTGCTTTCTCCTGGGCTTCTAAAAGACACAACTAGAACCAAGCTGTTGAAAATCTGTCTCAGGAAGAAAATGTTTGAGGTTGCTCTCTGTACAGATGAGTCATCAGTAGGACTGTATTAGAATGGCTGCAGTAATAAACTGATTACAGTGCATGCTTACAAGGTATGGCCCTAAGTAATCACTGGAGTGCAATGTAAATGCAAATATTTTCATAAAAATGATTTAGAACATCAGCTCTGTTGGGAAACAGGGGGCTTGCATGTGTATCTTCTACTGAGCTGAAAATATGACTGTGCTCTAGGTCATTAAAATAGCAAATTCACAGGGTTTCTTCTCCCTATAACAGCCGTGTTCTCTGCTTTCTTAACATATCATTTCTTGCTTCTTTGCTCATTTGCATTAGTTAAACAGCATCTATCAGTGCATCTCATTTAAGCAAAAATTGCTGCTTCAACTAAGAGGTAATCAGCAATGGCAGGTGAAAGCAGAACTTGACTGATAAGAAACAGAAATGTTTAATATATCTAAAAATTAATATCTTAACTCTCATTTGTTTTCTGAATAAAAAGGTGAAATCAAGTATTCAAACATTTTCTTTTCTTTGGTTCCTCAGTACCTTCCCTAGGGAAGTAAAATAATTTGAAGAAATACTTTGTCAAGACAAGAATGTCGTTTCTTTTTTTCCTGACCTTCCACTATAATCCAAGAGCCCTGTGCTCTTTTGTGCATGTCAATAGAAAAAGGAGATAGACATCAGCTAGTTGTTGAATGGGATACAAACATTTCTCCTAAATTTGGTTTTCATATTAGATACATTATGCAGAGAATAAATATGCAAGCTTTAATTAAGAATTCAATTCTGAAATCCTGAAGTGTTTGCTTTCTAATGCTTAGCTGGTAAATCTGTCTTTTGAAAACGTAAAGTATGTGCATCATCATGGCAATTCTTCTTTAATTTTCTTTTTTTTTCAATATGCAGTACTGAATTTTTTTGTAGTCTTGAAAGAAATTAATGCACAAACTCAGAGAATTATAAACTTGACAGTTCTGACATTTCTGACTTTGGTAGTTGAAAATAGCTTTATTGCTAATGACTTATCTTTTCACTTCAGTGCTGACCTAATAGCAGCACTTATGTGTAGTCAGCGTTCCTAAAATAATAAATGACCTAATAGCAGCACTTATGTGTAGCCAGCGTTCCTAAAATAATACATATTAATTGTTTGAGTATTAATGATATGTGAATAAACATGGTCAATTTATATTCATTATTACGGTTGATATTTATTTGTAACAAGGGCGAAAAGTGTTCTTGGACATTGATACAATTGTGAAGTTGTATGTGTTTCTAGGAAAATATTTTTTGGAAGAGATACGTGCAGTCTGAGAATGGGAGATACAGTTCAATCAAACTTTTGAAACAAAGTTGTAAGTTAAATAATTTTCAGGTGTGACTTCTGCTCAGAATTTTTACTTCTGAATCAAAAATTCTTCACTGTAAATAGGTCTGGTTCGGAAAGCTTTCTTTTTCCTAATACAGAAATAATTTTGCGACTGTTTGTTCTGTAGAAGTGCCTTTTCTAGTAAAATTTCCAAACACAAATTTCCCTTTTGGCATTCTTTGTCAGCAGGTTTGTCAAATTTGCCTTCCTCCCGGAAAGGAAAATTTGCTGCTCATTTACTGTGGAAGTGTCTTTTAATACAGGAGTCTTAGAACAACACTTGCTTTTCAAAAGCATTAACGTAACTTTATTCAGAAAAGTACCTTCCTGGTAAGACACACTGTTCCTCAAAGGGGAGGTCTGTCCAGTAATGTTTTAGTTTTGTTGCCCAGGTTGTCATTAAGAAACCACCACCATGGGGATATTGCAGCATCCAGGACACGTAGTCATGAACTCCCACAATTTTTTTTTCTTTTTGGACTTGTAGATGTTTCTCACCCATCCTGACTTTTGGGAGATATTATGCAAACCAAAGTTTTCCAAGAATTGGAGGTACTTTGGCTTCCTTAGGAATTCTATTTCACACTTAAATTTTCTTTCTAGTTTACTCTTCAGAACAGGAGTCTTGCAGAGGAGGGTCTCAGTTGGCTGGGGAGAGTGTATTGCTCCTTCTATCAGATACTAAAAACTCAGTCAGATTTTCAGACTGTAATTGTCCTCTGCAGATATTAAATACGTAGGTGTTTCTGTTTGTCTCTGTACATAATGAAGACATGCACCACATTTATTAGTGTAAAATCTTCTCTTGCTGCCTACTGCATGAATGTTTCTGAGTCAGTTTGTTGTTTCTTTATTCAGCTCTCTTTGGCTCCCTTTCTGGTCTTGGTGTTCTCCATTTCTTTCTGCAATGGAAATATTTAAATAAGGCAGTGAGGTGTGCCTATAGAGTACCAAGCTGAATTTTTTGTTTTGGATTTAATTGGTGAAAAAGTCATCTTGTAACTTGAGGTTGAGTTCAAATGAGCCTAAATTGTTTATTCCAACACCTGAAGTTTATAAATTTTGTGATAAGTTGCTACATGAGTGACCATGAAAGGCTGTCAAGTCCCTTACTTCAAGGAGAAAAAACATTGTTTCCTAAATGAAATTTTACAAATTACTTTACAAACACTATGAATTGCTGTAGTATAGAAGTGGCAAAATGCTGTGTTGTGGATTAGGTCTAGACAGCAGCAAAGCACCACACAGCCACTTGTTCATTCCTCTCCTGGTCGGATGGGCTGGAGAAAATATAAGGAAAGTCTCATGTGTCTTGAGACAAGGACAAGCAGTGATCACTCACCAGTTGTGATCATGGGCAAACAGACTCGACTTGGGGAAGAAGAATCCATTTCTGACCAATCTAATTGGAGTAGGACAATGAGAGAGAAAACCAGATCTTAAAAAACCTTCCCCTACCCCTCCCTTCTTTTTGGGCTCAGTTTTGCTTCTGATTTTCTTTACATCCTTCCCCCTCAGCAGCACAGAGAGGAAGGGAATGGGGGTTATGGTCAGTCCATCACATGTTCTCTCACCGTCCTCCTCAGGGGGAGAACTCCTCACACTCTGCCCTTGCTCCAGCGTAGGGTCCCTCTCATGGGAGACAGTCCTCCCCTTCTTAAATACGTTATTCACAGAGGAGCTGACTGGCTCGGCCATGGCCAGAGGTGGGTCCAGCTTGGAGCCAGGGGAGCTTCTAGCAGCTTCTTACAGAAGCCATCCCTGTATGCCTTCCCCCCATACCAAAACTCCACCACACAAACCCATCTTATGCTAAAACCTTATCCTCATAACAGCAATTTTCTTTCATAGGGCCTATTTTTTATTTGTTTTTCTTTATTTCTGCACTGTTGTCAGCATTTGGTGTTACAGTTGGCACCACTGAATTCAAAACTGGTAAGAGTTAGTTTCATTCTTACAACTCTACAGTTTAGGTTACAATTTCGGCAAGTCAGGGCATGTTTAAATGCTATTCTTGCTCAAATTTTATTTTGGCTATTATCTTTCAAAAATGTTTTTATCTGTGGTTTCTTACAACAGTCTTAAAAGAAGTAGCTTGTGTAAATATGTGTTGCTTTAAAAGGTTCATATAGACATGCTTGTAAGAAATAATTGAAAATACATGTTTTCTTGCAAAAATGTATTAAAGTAGAATATTTTTTAAAAGTTATTTTAAGAAATGTGAGTGAAGCAAATACTGTATTACCGTGAGAAGATAGAATGCTTCAGGCATATGAACATCCCGAGGCAAAGCTGAAGGTATTTTAACTTATTGATAACATCTACTCCTTAGGGCTAAAAATCACTATCATGAAGTTTTCATTTCAGCTTATAATGTAAATTAATTAAAGTTTATCAGTTAGATTGAACTGAAAGTGTACGGAAAAGTGAAAGGCAAATTAAACGAGTATCTGAGTGGTCTCAAGTGTCTGGAATGCAAAGTGACAGGGAATAAACAAAGATTGGGCGGCAAGCATGACATAAGCAGCACTGCATTTTGCTTGGCCTTAGAGGTATGCCGAATTTCTTCATGGCAGGGGAATAGCCGTGTGGGAGGGTAAGACCTATATAGGAAAAGTGAGGCAACTTGGCTGGAGGTATACTAAATAGGAAGGTGTTGAATGCTCTGGGGTTTAAGCAGCTCGAGGACAATGGCAGTTTAAAAAACAAGTTCTGCATGCAGATTTCTTTGTGTCACTGATAATGTTTAAACTCTTCTGCTTTAAATGTCTAAGGTATTAGGATTTTTCTTCCAACATTTTATGCTGTGAAAATGAATTAACAGTGTTTTACTTTCAGGTTAGTGATGCAGTGTTCACATGTCAAGCATGTCCAAGAATACTTCTTTAACAATTTTGTTGTTAAAATTTGAAGGCTTTAGTTGCTGTTCAATAAAGGTGTATTTTGACAGTGTTTAACTTGGTGAGGCTTTGCTATGAATCAGACCAGCAGTAAGGTCAGAGAAATTGCTGAAACATACATCAAATACTCATGGAAAATAGGAGTAATATGTGGATGGATGAGCATGGATGAGGCTTTGAGCAACCTGGTCTAGTGGAAGGTGTCCCTGCCCATGGCAGGGGGGTTGGAACTAGGTGGTCTTTAAGGTCCCTTCCAACCCAAACCATTCTGTGATTCTATATGTGACTTGACAGGCATTCTCAGTTTAAAAATCATGTCTGTCTCTTACTTTAATTTCCACAGTTTTACTGAAACCTAGGGTTGCTGTAACTGAGATTAAACTATTTCAATCAAAACATGCAA